GCCCTGACCTCTCCTCTGTCCTTGCAGCAAGTCCCGAATATCACGAAGGCGCTGGGTCTGTTTGTGAAGCCGGAGGTGCTGGGCGGGGACAATGCCTACATGTGTGACAAGTGAGTGTGTGGGGCGGGCGCCGCAGTACGGGGAAGGGGGAGGCTTTTATGCCCGCTCCGTGGCTAAACCGTGAGATCCGTGGCCACGGGAGCCTGCCGCTCCTCAGCTCCCTCCTCTCAGGAGGACCCGGGCCAGCAGCCATCGCCGTGTGCAGGTGCCCTGGAGCGGTGCCTGGTGTCCACGCGGCCCTTTCCGTAGGGTTTGCCGCTTGGCCGGGGCTGGTAATCACCGGGGTGGTGGGACAGTTTGAATGACTCGAGCTCTTCCTCTGCAGATGCAAGAAGAAAGTGTCAGCCAGAAAATACTTCACCATCCACCGGGCCTCCAACGTGCTCACGCTCTCCCTGAAGCGCTTTGCCAGCTACAGAGGAGGCAAAATCACAAAGGTGAGTGCTCAGCATTCCAGAGCCCCAGGCCCTGCTGCCCAGAGCAGGGTGGGAGGTGGTCCCAGGCGCAGTGCGAGCTCTGCCACCGTCCAGCCCTTCCCCGGCTGCGCGGTGGGAGTTTGGCTCATCCTGGCGTCTTCCTCACCGCGACCTCTGCCTGGGGAGAGCGGGTCCCCTCTCGCATTCAGCTCAGCTGCTCTTGCTGTAGCCAGGAAGCCGTGTGCTCTGCAGGCTCCTGACACCTCCTCTCCCGCAGGACGTGGGGTACCCCGAGTTCTTGGACATCCGCCCTTACATGTCATACAACAAGGGAAAACCGGTCATGTACGAGCTCTACGCGGTGCTGGTGCACTCTGGGTACAGCTGCCACGCCGGCCACTACTACTGCTACGTGAAGGTGAGCCCGGGGTGCTCCCTTGGCCCCCTCTCCGGGCTGGGGGGTGCTCGTGGGTAGCGCGCAGGGAGGATGGCGCTGGGCGGATGCGCGTGGTGTGGAGCTCTGCAGGGGGGTTTGGGCTGTGCTGCACCGCAGGAGACGGCGGAGGTCTGCTCGCGCAGAGTCCCCTTGCGTGCCCGTGGGTTCTGGGGAGAGGGAGAGAACAGCCTACGGGTGCTGTTCCCGCTGCTCTTCAGGCTGGGAAAGTCCCCGGACATAGCCTGACCCCATTCTCCTTCCGCAGGCCAGCAACGGGCAGTGGTATCAGATGAATGACGACGTGGTGCGCTGCAGCAACATCAAAGTGGTCCTCAACCAGCAGGCCTACCTGCTCTTCTACGTCAGGTGAAAGCACCCGCTGTCTCCCAAACCCTCTGCCCCCTGAAATTGGGGCAGGGCTGGTGGCATGTGCCTGGGTGTGGGAAGGCCCGAGCGGCCCCAGTGCCCATGTGCCTGGGCTGGCTCGGAGGAGGGTGGCAGGGGGAGGTCCAGCCCCTTGCCTTGGTCTCCTCCGCCCTCCTCGGAGCTTCTGGCTCTCGTTTCTTGTGCTCATCTCCGACGGGAGAGTTCCAGACACTCACTCCCTCGCTGCTAACACGTGCACTTCTCTGCCTTCACCAGGATCTCTGGCCCCAAGAAGGGCTCGGAGGGGCCCACTGCCAAAGCCTCCGCCAAAGTGCCTGGCCGCGCTGGCGGCATCCCCAGTCAGGGCAAGAAAACTGTGACCAACAAGACCCTGT